ACTGGTCACTGATTCAGAGTGATCTGGATAGCTTGGTAAACTGGGAGCAAGCAAACAATATGTATTTTAATATGGCTAAATGTAAATGTATACATATGGGAATAAAGAATGTAGGCCATACTTATAGACTAGGAGACTCTATCCTAGGAAGCAATGACTCTGAAAAAGATTTAGAGGTGGTTATGGATAATCAGCTGAACATATGAGCTATCAGGGTGATGCTGTGGGCCACAAGAGCTAATGCAATCTTGGGATGCATAAACGGGGGAATCTCAAGTGGGAGCAGAGAGGTTATTTTATCTCTATATTTGGCAATGGTTGACAACTGCTGAAATCCTGTGTCCAGGATTGGTACCTACAATACAAGCAGGATGTTAATAAATTTGAGAGGGTTCAGAGAAGAGTCAAGAGAACGAGTAAAGGGTTAGAAAACATGCCATTATAGTGATAGACTGGAAAAGCTCAATCTATTTAGCTTAACAAAGAGAAGGTTAAGTGGTGACTTGATTACAATCTATAACCATATACATGGGGAACAAATATTTAAAAATGGGCTCATCAATCTAGCAGGGAAAGATATAATGTGATCCAATGGCTGGAAGTTGAAGCTGGAGCATGGAATAGAATCCACATACCTTGAGTCCGAGAGTCCTGTAACCTAACCACCAGATAAATGCCTATTTTCATGATGATAATTAATATTTAATTAATAATTCATTAGTTTAGCAAGATTAATAAACCTTGATAGAGAGCAATGGGGATATATATTTGCATTCTCATAGAGGTAGGTATATATAGTAGTGCACTGGGTTATTCGGCTGTATGATCGGGTACTTAATTGGCCACACAAGGATATTTACACAGGACTATTTAGTTGGGGGCAGACTGGGGCAAGGGCACATGGTATTGGGGCAGTTTAATCACATGTGGGAGTAGTTGTACTGAAGCAAAGAGATCTTTAGTTGCATGCAAAGGCGTGTGCATGGATTGGCGGCATTTAATCATTCACTGACTGGGGCATTTGCATGGGGTCTTTAGTCGTATACGAGGGTGTTTGCACATGGGCGCCTTGGGAAGTCACTAACCTGCTTTGTGCTGGACATTCTCCTCCTGACCTGTAGGGGGCATACTGAGGCTGAGATTACAGGTTTTTTCCCGGAGAAAGCTAGACCTCATCATTGACCCCTCTTTCACGCATGCGCAGATCCACCCCGCTCAGCGAATTATTGAATGCGCACGCGCCTGTGCCCGTCTAATCGCGCGAGCGCCAGCCAGCCACAACACTGGCTGCCGGTGAGGATGTGACCGCGCGTGCGCAGAGTGGGCGGCCGTTGTCTCAGTCAGGGAGGGGAGGCGGCTCTCAGTTCGGCCATGAACGGGTTCCGTGTCGGGGCGACCCCTTTGGGCTTCTCCGCGGCGGCTGCCCGGAGCGGCAGCAGCGAGAGCCTGGAGAAGATCGACATGTCGCTGGGTGAGGAGAGGGGCGGGCCGGGCCGCGACGGCCCCTCCCGAGTACGCGGCCCCACTGCTTGTGGGGCGCGGGCCGGGGCGGGCCGTTCGGCCCTAACCACGCGTGGGTCTCGCGGGCCGTGCGGCGAGGGCGGGGGAGGGGGCGCGGACCCGACCACTGCCGGGGGCGGGGAGGCGCCCTGGGCCTGGCGAGCGGGTCCAACGCGGGTTGGGCCTTGTCTCCCGAGGCCCTCTCGACTGCATGGCAGGGGGCGGCTCCTGAGACCACTCCCCCCCCCCACCCTCGGGCTGTCCCTCCCTGTGGGGGTGGGGAGCCGGTGGCGCAGGCCCGGGGGCCTGGCACGCGCTGCAGCTCAGCTGGCTTCCGGTAGGACCCATTGCACAGTGACTGGGGGTCCCACTCAGGCCCATTGCCTCAAGGGGGAGGCGGGCCAGCCTTCCCGCAAGGGAGGAAGCCTGGTCCGGCTTGCCCTGCAAAGGAAAATATTCAGGGAGGGGGACTAGGCCCAGCACAGTTTGTCAGGCTTGGGCCCCTTTTTTTTGTTGTTCTATAAAGGCCTGGTATTTTTCCCCCCTAAGAAGAAAAGTTGCTGTTTAGCTCTCTCATCTTAGCAATGGCCAGCCTTGCCTACTTTTGGTGTTTGACCCATTGGTCAAGAAAGAGCCTCAGAAATACAGGTGGACTCGCCATTGAAGTGGTCATGTATTCAGGCTTTAACCAAGGGGGCTTTTTTTTTTCTTTAGGAGATTTTGGAGTTAACTGGGGGTTAACCAAAACAGCTGAGTTTAAACACTCTGCCTAAAAGAATTCATATCTCTTCTCAATTCAGTTTTACTTTGAATCTGTGATGTCTTAATCCGACGAAGTGGGCATTCACCCACGAAAGCTTATGCTCCAATACATCTGTTAGTCTTAAAGGTGCCACAGGACTCTGTTGCTTTTTACAGATCCAGACTAACACGGCTACCCCTCTGATACTTAATCCTGTTAGTTATCCTACTATCAAGTTTCCCAAAATTCCGGGGAGAACAAGATCTGACTTTTTTTATGTAAAAGAGATTTTCTTTGGGGGGGGGGGACTTCATGTTGCCTTTATGAATATGAAGATGCAAAAAACTTTAAAATATGAGGGTGGCTACAACTTGCCCACTTTTATTGCACATCAAATGGGCTTTGCCAAGTGACTAACCCAGTCCTTCATTTGGACAAATCTTGTAAAACACTGGCTCAGGGCTCCCTTAAAGGTAGGAATGTGGGAGGATGGAGGGTTGGTTTTTTGTATATAGTGTATTATGATACACAGATTCAGTTTGATTGGCTAGGGAAGATACTTACTTTGGTTGCCTAGTTTGTTTCATTCTAGTCTCACTTTAATGTTTTCTCTTTATGTCCATTTTTTATCTAGTAATGATTTACTATAGGTGTGTCAGTAGCAATACCTTACAGAGAACTGCTAATGTGATACCTTGTTTGGAAATTATTCTCCTTATATTGTCTATAATCTCATGTTTAGTTTGTTACTGGGGTAATTTACATGAAAACAAAATCATCCATTCCTATTGTCCCTCAGCTAAAGACATGTAATCTGTTGTAGGGTTGGCAGGATCATGGATTATATGAAATCCCACATTTGTCATGGTGTCAGAAAAGTTGTTGACAAATGTCTCTTATATCGGTATAACTACATCTCTCCAGGGTGTGGAGTGACATAGTTATACTGACCTAACCGTGGTGTAGACAAGGCTTCTTCTGTTGTCATAGCTATTGCCTCTCTGGGAGGTGGAGTACCACAAATTGGCAAAGCTCTCCAATTGGCATAGGCAGCACCTTCACTAACCGCTAGTGTGGTGCAGCTGTGCCACTGCAGTGTTGTAAGTATAGACAAAGCCTGAGTTAATGATTTTTGATAAAGAGCTCTATGGAGCTCAAAAGCTTGTGTCTTGGATCAATTTCGGTTGGTGAAATAAAAGATATTATTTCATCCACTTAGTCTCTGTGTTTTCAAAGGTATTCTTGAGTTATCAGTTGGTCTGCAGTCTAATATGTTATATTTTTTTAACCTTAAATTTTCTAAAGTGATGTGGGAGATGGGCCATCTGCTTTAAAATGTGTTTAAAATGGACTAAATAAATGTTTGGAAGCTTAAAATTCCAGTGCTAACTTGGCTGAATGTCATAGTACTGTCTTTTTTTCTGTCATAGTACCGTGTCTTTTTTCTGATTAAATATGTTCAATATTAAATATTGTAACATATGTAGCATAAAATATATAGACCAGGCAGTATTATAGAAGTAATATTTCTAGAACATTGTTTGGTATTTTCTGACTTTGTATGATTGATTATGCTGTGTTCTAAGACACTTCATTTGAAACAGATTTTTTTTGAGAAGCAGATTCTTCTGGTTCCTCCATACAGTTAACCCAAAAATGTTATGCTTGACCTATTTCCAGCTATTAAAACTATCTACAGAACTTGGGTTACTTTAATAGCTGCCGCAAATAGCCACTTCTATATTATATATATAAAAATGCATTCCACAAAACTTATTATGAGGCTGTTGTTTTAGGAGACAGTTTAATTGAAATTATTCAGACAGTAGCATGAGAGTAATGCTGTAAAGCCCAGAGTAAGGCTTTTTGAAAATTGTTGCCCTTATAAAAAAAAAAAAAGGGAAAAGTGTAGATTTCTTATATCTATGCTGAATACAGCAGTCCTACTTGACTGTAATACTAACTTACCAATGTAAAATAATTGTACAGTGCAGAAAAACTGGTGCCACTCACTGGGCACTACTAACTGCTGACTCTTTACTGGATAACTTAATTTTCATTATTGGTCTTAGAGAACCTAATGCAAGAGAAATACTGGAAAGGATGGTGAGTTGCAAGTGACATCCCCACCAATAAATCTGAAGGGCCAAATGAATAGCCCTGGCTCCATCTTTACTCTCCCATTGAGAATTATTCCTAAAAGACTGACTCTGGGAGTTTGCCTGAGTAAGGGCTATAGGGCTTAATTCAAAGCAACTAAGATTTTATCACTACTTAAAATACTTAAGTCTAAAGTGTATCATAAAACCTTTATTTTTGCAGATGATATAATTAAATTGAATAAGAAAGAAGAGAGAAAGCAGTACTCCCCCCAAATGAACAGAAGGCTTCAACAGAATGGAACTCGACAGTTCAGGATGAGGGGGACCAGGTGGGGAATCCAACAGCAGACAGGTATGTGCTTTATAAAAATACAACACAGTTCTCATAATTACTGTGCGGTGAAATGTCACCTACTAAGTAAAGCCATGTAGCACCACTTTTTGTACTTTATGAAAAAGTATGGGTTGACGTAATAGTTCACTCAGTCTGTTCTAAATGCTGTCATGTGGAGTTTAAATTTATAATTCAACTCTAGTTTGTGATCCTCTTAAATAAGTTTTCTGTGTCCTAGTGCTTCTGTGTGGGCTCAGTGTTTGGATTTCCATGGACAACAGGAGCTGTGGCTGTATCACACTCCTTCCATGAGTCGGGGAGTCTTGCTCTTTGTTCAGCTTTCTCCTGGAAGTTGTATTGACAGTATATTGTGAACTACATCCCTCTAGCCCGCTTCTGAGGAGTGGCAGAGAGGGATATCACAATGGTCGGGGTTTGTAGGTGGAGAAACCCGGAGTCCTTGCCAGTCCCTAAAACTTTCTGTAAACCAGAACCAAACTGTTACATTCATTAAGTTGTATCTACCTATCAGGCCTTTCACAAAGGCAACTGCTGTCTACATATCTTGCATTTCAGTACCCTACTCGAGTCTGTGACACTGCCTCTATGCAGCAAGCCTGCAAAGTAAGACTTAGTGAAATCTGAGTTCTTTACTCTCCAGAATGCACAAAAGGATGGAGCAGAGTGCTTGAGTGAGAAGCTGCTCCAGATACCTCCTTTGTGAACAAAGATCTTGCCATGTCTCACTTTCCAGGCCCACAGTGTTACAATGCACTAGAGGTGTAGGGGAAGAGGGCAGTGAAGAGGAAGTAAGGTGTACAATTTAAAAATTTAAGTCAACATTGCTATCTAATTCTATTAAAGATTTCATTGGTAATGATGAATATTTCCAGTAGACTGTATTCAGATGCTCCTGAGGCACTACCCAGATTCTAGGTGGCTAACTAGACATGTGGCTGTGACACTGGTGCTTTGAAAGGTAACTATTTGTACCTTCTTAGCATTGTGGATAATGAAAGCTATACAAAATTCAACTGTCTGATTCTGATGAAATAAGCTTATGATGCAGTAAAGTGAATTATGAAGCATTTAAAAATTCCACTTATGCATTTTTTCATTTTGTGGCAAGTAATTTAACTTAAGCTTGCAGCTGTCTCTTAGTGGAATTTTAGTAAGAAACAAAAGGAGACAATTGCTAATACAAAAGTGGGAAACAAGTGTTGGATTAAAGTTTATATGCATCAGAGTGTTTGATTTGTTACTCAAGTATGTATAGTGTGAGAGTAAGGGTTATGTGTTTTAGTCCCAAAACATCGGCTTTGTATGAAAACCAAACCTAACTCGTAAAATTGATCAGTTTAAAATAAATTTGTTTGGAAATCTTTAAAAATGCACCTCCTAATGTTTGGGTTACAAACACAGCAGAATAAAGTGCATGAGAAGGAATAAGTATCTTTGACTGGAAATTGATCATAAATATACTAGCCTCCTTTCACTGTCCAAGCCATGCCAAAATGAAAAAGTCCAATCTGCATTAATGTCATTTAAGATACTTGTCATATTTTCAGTTCTAATTTTCATTTTCAAATGGAAAATTAGAACTGAAAATATGACAAGTATCTTAAATGACCTTTATTAATGCAGATTGGACTTTTAAATACAATTGTTGACAGTCCCTTAGTCTCTTAGGGAACTGCTCTCTTTGGCTTGTATTCACTATTGCTAGAGCTGGCTTAAAAACAGCAAACGTGTCACAGAACTTTTTCAGATTTGAAATCAATCTCTCTCTCTCTCTCTCTCTCTCTCTCTCTCAAAAAAAGAGCTCTAACTGTTCTTTCCTGCACAACTAGACAAGATCGTCTCTAGTGGGAAATGAGCCCTACTCATTTCACATGGATGCTTTTTTCAGGCTCTGAACAGTTCTTCTCCAAAGCATATCAACAGCTACTCATTGTTCAGGCATTGCACTGTTGCAATTCACTGATCTTGTTTTGGGGGGCGTGGGGGGGGGGTGTCTTTATTCCCAGAATATTAAATATCATATCTCTGCCTTGATAGAGCAATAATTGTTTTTAATTCATCTTTATTGACACTTAAACTGAACCAACAGTACCACTGTCCCGTCTTGGGGTCTGAGTGCACCCCCACAGATGTCAGGCCTTGAGCCTATCTCTCCTGGGGTGGAATTGTGCAATTCTCCCACTCTTAGATTAGGATCTGGGTTACAGTCCCTTGGATACCAACCAAGACTACTTCAGTGGGTCCAAATTTGGGAGCGTGGGACAGCAGCTGATCCGTGTCTCACAAACAACGTCTTCAAAACAATGCATTTATTCTTTCACCCAAAGATACAAAGTGCACAGGGCTGCAATACGAAACAAGAGTCCTGCACACATTTCCTTAAACTTAATCTCTCTATCCAGAACTCAGACTTATTCCCATTTCTGAATTGGGAGAAACATGCTTCCTGCTTACATTATACTCTTTCTGTCTCTGAATGAGTCTTCCCAGCCTGTTGGCTTTTTCCACTGACACACTCTGGCCAGTCACTGAACTGTCTGTCTATCTTTCAGTTTCTATAAGGGTTTAGCTTACCCTTTGATGTTAGGCTCTTATTTGTCTCATTGTTTTACTTTTCTTGCTTGGTTCTTTAACAACCCTTTTACAGTCTCCTTTGCTTTAACTCTATGCATTCAGACAGCAGCAATACAAAATTGAACAGTGAAATCAAATCACACAATCTATACAAAAAAAATTAGACATTATTCTCATTTGTCACATCTGATTCTTGGGTATTTCTCATGGCCCAGGTCCTTTGAAACCAAAATAGGAGCCTGTTGACTAAAGATTTTTCTTCATGTGAATTCCTTCGTAACTCGAATCTAATTCCTTTTTTGCTATGCTGTGCTCCAGCTTCTATGAGCCTTCATTATACCTTTTTTATCCCTAATTCAAGGTATTTTACATATCTGTAAAAGTTAGCATGGATGTGTTCCCCCACATGTCTGTTCCAGGCCTCAGAGGTTGTTCTTTTTACTAGGGTAGCCTGGATCAAATGTGTAAGGAGTGTTCACTGTGTACTTTACAAATGTGTTTAAGTATCTTGAATTAGAGATAGGTGTGGGGGGCAAATATAGTGAATAGAAACCTCATAGTAAATATCGGCACTTGACAAAATTTCATATCAGGTGATGTACTTCATACATCAGGCAAAATTCATCCCCAATGCTGCATCAGATGCAATAATCAACAATAGAATAAGTGCTCAAATTGAAAATGATTGTGAAATGCAAGTTTTGAGATGAATAGGACAGTCCATACATCCCAGAGCTGCGATTTCAAGCTGGCAGCCTAAGAAGAGCTGCTGCATTGATTATACTCGTTTCACTTTTTCAAAGTGATCTTCACAACCATGAGGACTGGAAACCTTAAATGAAATGTTTGGTTCTGAAGCAAGGGGTGGATTCCGCAGTAAACTGGAACTGTGGAATTATGGAATACATAGAACCCGGTGCATGATCCTGCAGCAGATCCTTTGCTATACGTGAGCAGCTGAGAAATGAGCTTCTGGAGGTCATTTAATGTGCTGTCAAGCTTCTTCAGCAGGACATCAAGGAGAGAGGAGTTGGCGATTGGGAGTGTGGGGTGGTATGAAGAAGTTAGTGGAAAACAATCTAAAAAATCTTCACCATTTTTTTTGCTTTCCATACCACTTCCAATAGGAAGGAAGTCCCTTTGAGACAATCCTCCATGCCCTGGTCAGATGTAACTACTTTCAGCGCTGCTGACCTAGAATGAAGGGCTCTACCTCTGGTTTCTACTGTCCAGTCCATTATACACTGAAAAGTCTGTCCTTGAACATGTTTATAACAGGGTGTGTGTTCCCCTTCAAAACGGAGCAAAAACATGGTTTGTTTATTACTGTAGAAGGGAGACCAACTTGTGTTCTCAAATCCTATTAGCCTTGGTCTTTACAGGGTCTAATGCTATTTAGGAATATGATTAAATTGTCTCACTTATAGCACAAAACCAAATGGTTAGAATCCTGCCTGTGGAGCCCACTGTTGCAGCTGGGACCTCCAGGATGGTAGATGTTGACAGTGTAGACCGCATCTGAGTATAATTCCTGTTTTATAAGCTGGGACTTTCCAGACTCTTGTTGCTTGCTGTATGATCAGAGAGTTGAAATAAAATATGCCATTTTGTGCTGTTCGGCTATGGTCTGATATAGTTATCTTCTTGGTTTGAGGCCAGCCTTGAACTGACTTATGTGATGTAGCAGCAGCAGCATCTGCAACATGAGGCCAATAACTTTTGCTTTAAGACAGAGGCTCCCCAACTCTTTTGTTGTGTCCCCTTCAGAGATTCATGTCTCCCTCTTTTTACGTAATGGTACCATAGGGGTGGGGGGTACTCACCATGTCGCAATTGAGGAAGCCTTCCACTCTCTACAGTGGTCAGGTAGCCTCGGCTGCCAGGACCTGGCTCCCTGCCTGACGGGCTGGTGTCAGGAGGGGAACAGAAGGCTGTAGCCCATGAGTACTGCCCATCCCTCCACCAGACTCAATACCCTACAGCCTCCGGCCCTTCAGCATGGCTCTGTCTGCTTCCCCTGCACAGGCTCTATCAGTCAGGGGACACGGATGGGGCTCTGTGCCCTGAGGCTGTGCTGAAGGGCTGGGGCCAGCAGGGGGCTCTGTCTGGCAGGGAAAGAGCAGTACTCCCAGGGTGCAGCCTGCAGCCCCCCACTCAGAGTCTGTCTGCCTTTCCAGAAGAGGAGGGTGACTGCACTTTGTGGCTGCAGCCGTGGGGGAGCAAGATGGGCAGGGAGCCTGATCCTGGCAGGCGAGACTGCCTATACGGAGCCCCTCCTGCTTCCCATCCGGACAGATCCCTCTGCTGATTCTGACCCTTCAGCGCAGCCCTGTCCGGTCATAAAATCATAGAAGTGTAGAACTAGAAGGGACCTTGAGTCTAGTCTGCTGCCTTCACAACAGGACCAAGTACCATCCCTGACAGATTTTTGCCCCAGATCCCTAAATGGCCCCCTCAAAGATTGAACTCACAACCCTGGGTTTAGCAGGACAATGCTCAAACCACTGAGCTATCCCTCCCCCTTACACCTTCGATGGGGTCATGCCCCACACTTTGAAAATCTCTGATCTAATGCAACCAAAAGTTATTGGGCTGTTGTCAGGAATTCCTGGGTGAGCTGCCCTGGCCTGCGTTGGACGGGACATCAGAACGGATGTTCACCGTCTGGCCTTACAGCCATGAACTCTGGGAAGTTCTGCAGTGGGGATGGGCTATGGACAGAGGTTTACTCCATGCAGCTCCTGCAAGGGAATCAAAGGGGACGCAGCATCCGGTTTGGTTCCGGACAGATAGATTCGCCAAGACAATGCCAGGTCCTGTTTCCTGATAAGATGTGGTCACATCTTAACA